TCAAAGTAGTGCCATTATTGGACAATTATACATCAATTCAACAGATTTATGACAATTTAGTATATTCATAAAATAGACTTATCAAACCTCCCCAACTTTATTCCAAACTTGTCCTGAGATTGGCCAAAAATAATCAGCGTAGGCTTAATCTCTCATCCTAAGAAAAACTCACCAGAATCATCAATTCCGTACATTTTATCATAATATTTTCGATAGCACAATATATTCATTTTGGGGATTATTAGTTGCTTATCCGGACTTTTAAACTCAAAATACATGTTATGCTTGTTTTACTTTGTTGTTTGAAACCCTCCACTTTTTGAACCCTTTCCAATAATCAACCTCATGAGTAATCAGTTGAACTCACTGCCCAAGTCTCGTTTTCAAGGTTCACTAACATAGTTAGCGCGGTCGGTAACACTTAATGGACCAACCCATACACTCCCGCTATCGAGGGGTCACATATTGTTTCACACAATGTCTTCAACTTGAACTTTTCTTCATATTTATCTTGATTGTGCATTCTCTAAGTTCTTTGATGGCTTCATCGGATTTGATCATCTTTGTATTTGACTTGAGCTTGAATATAGATACTTTGAAGTTCTTCAATGTCTTATGATGCTTTTTGGTTGTGTGAAAACAATAATAGTCCCCTCCCAACCCCAAAGGCGCAGGAGTAAGTAAGACCAAGTACTCAAAGCGTGATGACACATATTGTTCGGTTGGGTCCTCAATTGAAAGATCGTAGGCTAGAGCCAAAAACCTTCATTTTTCAAACTTGGGTATTTCACATAACAATTTTTAAATCAATATAAGTATTTCCAAACTGGCCGAGCAACCCCCAAAATCAATATTAGATAGATATTATGACTCGATGTACGAAACTACTATCATTTTCCATCTTGATGAGTTACATTCAAGATATAGAGAAGCTACTAACTCATCACATATTTCATTGTGACCAACTTCAAGATAAGATAATTAAAGATATAGTTTAAGATAGCAGTACATTCATCCTAAGTTGATTATCCAAAAGAAAATTCATCAAAGTTAATGTAAAAAAAATTAAAAATATGGAGGACGACACACCTGATGGTACTAATAGTAGAGGCGGATTTGATTTCCAAAAAACTTCACTAGTTGGAGATATTTGCATAATGTTTCGTTATGCCCAAATAAACATCGAATAATTATGATTTTTTTTTAAATCACTTTTTCTTCAATCCTCCATCGTATTCTTGTGTACACCCCCTCCCCAACTTTAAGTCTTGCATCGTCCTCGATGCATCAAAAAATAAATTCCTAAAACAATAACAAAAAAAAAACTACAAGCACACAAATCAAATCAAATAAAAATAAACTACACTAACTAGCCCTCAATTTCGTCGGGGTCCACGATTGCACTTGGCACGTGCAACAAGCCTTTTAAACCCCTAGGTTACCCCTAGTGGACGAGTGAAGTCTCGTGAGGGTTTGCAGTGAACACACCCACAAAGTTCCAAAATTGCCAAGTTTAACGTCATTAGCGGGACGGGTTACCTCGAGTGATGTCTATGGATGATCATATGTTCGTGGACATCCTTGAAAGTCATCCATGAGGTCGTTTATCTTACTTTGAGTAACTTTAAGTTTTCCACGATAATGCTTAGACCTAGTTTTCAAGTCCAATGTATCTTTCCTTCTAGTAAACTTCTTTAATCGATGCTTGATATCATGTAAAACTTTCATTTTTGATTTATGGGAGCATGTGATATCATGCTTCTTGTCCTGTAACCTTCTTTTCAAGTGTTGACTTGTGCTATTATCTAATGGTTTTGACCTGTTGCATGAGAAAATTTTCTCCAAATCGAGGGTAGTGTTGGAGAGCATATTTACGGTATGCTCATAGACATTATCATGAATAGTATTGATTACACACAAGTCACCACTGATTGGAGAATCATTAGTAGGTCCAAATAATAGGAGTCTCAGTTTATGGCTTGCAAAGATCACATTTATCGCACCTTCCTGGCAACTAATATGGGCATATATAGTTTTCAAAAAAGGACGATCAATGATTATACTTGGTTGTTTGTATTTGGCCAATATTTTAGAATCCATCAGAAGAAGTTGTGGGTCGGATTTTTTAAAAGTTGTTGGGTAGGGGGTGGTATTAGCCTCCACAAACACCTCCCCAACTTTGGACACTTCAAACTCATGAAACTCTTTATTATATTTTTCCTTTTCGATTACAACTTCTTTTATTTCAATTATCCTTTCAGTATTATTCTCATATAAATGCACATAATCCTCCACCACAACCTCAAGTTCGGGTAGTGTAGGATTATGCACTTTGTTATCAAAATATCTATCACTACCTAAAATTGTTACCTCATTATCTTGTGTAGTGTCTGAAAGATTATTTGATCATTGTTGATTTAGCTGCTCCTTTATTTCTTTCAATTGATCTTCAAGAGCCGAAATAGATTTGGAATTGTCTTCCTCCTCGTTGAAGGTTTCATTCAACATGTCCAACATTTGATCCAACTTCTTGCTAAATGAAGAATTTTCTGATTCTTGGTCGTCTGGGAAATAATATGGTTCATGGTGTTGGTTTTGAGTCGATTCGTCAGATCACCAACAATCATCATCATATGGATCATTGTATGGATAATCATTATATGACTCATTGTATGGATCATTATTGTATTGATCTTGACCTGGATTTCCACTCCCCCACTACATATCTTGGTTGATATAAATGTATTCCTCCATTCACGACAGTCCCTACACAATAACAGTAAAATAGTGAAGATTCTAAACTAAAAATAAAACAAAATAAAATAAAACTTAATGACTACTTCAACACAATAGTTTAAGCGCACAATCTCCCCGGCAACGACGCCAAATTTTGATCGATGTCGTTGTCTCAATCAAAAATAACCTCAAAACCACTAGATAGCTAGGGTAAGTAAGGGTCGAATCCACGAGGAGTTTGTGGTCAAACTTTGTGCTATAGTAGTCAATGAAAAAGAACTAATACTTGCAGTTGTCACGAAAAATATTTACCTGCATATGAAGTTCAACAACTCATCAAAGTAGTGCCATTATTGGACAATTATACATCAATTCAACAGATTTATGACAATTTAGTATATTCATAAAATAGACTTATCAGTTCTGTAAGAGCTAACTGATCCCACAAATCCGACATAGCTGCATAAAATTCCTGAACACTGAGATTGTTCTGTTGGAGGGCTCGAATATCGAAATCTAACTGATACTGCTTTGCAAAGTTAGACTGAGTATACAACCTAGCCAAGTGATCGCAAACCTCCTTTGCCGTGTCATACTTCGCCAACTGAGTACCAATAGACTGGATGACAAGATTTTTAATCCAAGTAATGATCTTGAAGTTATCAGTATCCCATGAATCCAGTAAGGTTGCATAATTAGCGGCCTTCTCGTTTATTGGTTTCTTCTTGTCACCTGTAACAATCCCCCACATAGTCTTGCCCCGCAAGAATTTTTTTCATAACATAACTCCAATAGGCATAGTTTTTGCCATCAAGTTGAATACTAATGGACTGAAGAGAATCATCTCTTGGGGCCATATTTCAATATCAGTCAAATAGTAAATACGAGTAGCATAAAAAACGATCAAGATCTCGAAATCAACAAAGCTAGACGAAACGAAACCTCAACAACGTCAAACGAACAAATCAAACCAAACAAAATACAGAAACGAGCAAAAAAGGCATACCCAAAATTGCAAATGGTGGCAATGAACAGTGCACGTGAACAACACCGATGAACAGTGCGATGAACAGTAACTGTGAACAGTAACCGTGATGAACAGTAACGCTGATGAACAATAATCGTCGGGTGAATAGTAGCACCGATGAACAGTAATCGTGAACAGTAATCGTCGGGTGAACAGTAACGCTGATGAACAGTATCATGAACAGTAACGCCGATGAACAGTATTCGTCGATGAACAGTACTCGCCCCCAAAAACGAAAAACTAAAGATAATTAACCGAGCTCTGATACGATGTAAACTAACAAGTGAAAGACATATAATGGCTAGGGTTTCGTATTATTATCAAAGAGAAGTATAAATACAATGAAAAGGAAAGACATAATATATAGACAAGCTAATTAGGGTTTCCTAGCGAAAAGGCCCAATCATAAAACCCAATACAAAATAAAGCCCAAAATCTTATTAGGCTAACATATTTAATTATCTTCATTTTTAAGTTTATGCAAGTATGAGACGTTTAAAGGATGAACAGATGCAATAAATGCATGAAACAATAAGAACCATAGGCTTTCATTTAATAATCTTCATATTTATCTTCTTGTCGCTTATTCACACTTTCAAGGAAAATGGGAAAAGATTATTTTCCCTTGTTCATTTGTTTTTAAGATTCTTTTAAAGGGCACTTACATCCCCATCTCCATTGACCCATTGACACAGTTTTGAAGTGACAATCATCTATATAATAGTCAGTCATCAGTTACAGAATTGATTATCAAGTAAAACACACTTTTAGTGAAACATCTATTAAAGCATTAACTGAAAAACAAAAATAAATACGTCTAGATAATCAAGTTATATAAGTTGAATTATTACACTGTTAAATACAATAATAACATGTAATAACTCATGTTGTCTTTTTATAATCCTGGCACCTTGATAAATTTCGGGTTACAACGAATTTCATTGTTCAAAGAAAAAAGATTAATGTCATGTAATATACAATTCATGAAATATACAATCCAAATTGTCATACACTCCTTTGTGGAAAAAATATGCCACTGACTTCTAACAATACACCCCTTTGTGGAAAAGTATGACACTGGCGGCTAACAATACTTTCCTTTGTGGAAAAATATGACATTGCCCAAATTTCCTTTTCGAGTTCGTGAAAAAGAAAACAAGAGAAAAAGGTAGCTCAAATATAAGTTAGGATATGTAAACCATCCTCTTTTATTAAAAGTAACAACACAAAGCAAATAATGTCGTCTTCAAACTTCTTGTTTATCTGTGTAACTATACTAATCATCACACTCTCCCCCATACTGAATTTTGCTTTTGCTACTTTGGAGGAAGCCAATGCTCTTCTCAAATGGAAAGAAAACCTTGAAATTCCACACAACTCCTTGCTCTCTTCATGGATTCCACTTCCTATGAACTCCACGACATCATTTCCATGCACTTCTTGGTTTGGAGTAGTTTGCAATGCTGTTGGGAGCATTCAGAGGTTGAACCTCAGTTCATCGGGCTTAAAAGGTACACTCCACCAATTTCCATTCTCTTTGCTACACAATCTTACGCATTTTGATCTCTAAGAGAACAACTTCTTTGGCCCCATCCCACCAGAAATCAGACTCTTGTCCAAACTTGTCTACCTTGATTTTTTAGAGAATAATTCCACCTGAAATAGGAAACCTGCACCAGCTGACCAACTTGTACCTAGACTCGAACAATATATCTAGCTCAATTCCTTCATCATCGGGTGATTTGACGTCTTTAAAAATTCTTTGTTTGCACCAAAATCAACTTAGTGGTTCTATTCCTTCGTCATTGGGTGATTTGACATCTTTGAATACCCTTTATTTGTACAAAAATCTTCTATCTGGTCCCATTCCTATTGAACTTGGGAATTTGAAGTCTCTCACTCATCTTGCGGTATACAAAAATCAACTTAGTGGTTCTATTCCTTCATCATTGGGTGATTTGACATCTCTGAATATTCGTTTTTTGTATAAAAATCAACTCTCTGGTCCCATTCCTATTGAACTTGGGAATTTGAAGTCTCTCAATTCAATTTCCATGAGCTACAATCAACTTAGTGGTTCCATTCCTTCGTCACTAGGAAACATGGGCAACCTACAGTCTCTACGCCTCTATGAGAATAGATTATCTGGTCCCATTCCTATTGAACTTGGGAATGTGAAGTCTCTCGCTGATCTTCAGGTTGGCAAAAATCAACTTAGTGGTTCTATTCCTTCATCACTAACAAACTTAAGCAAGCTTGTACCTTAAAGGGAATAAATTATCGGGTATCATTCCTATTGAACTTGGGAATTTGAAGTCTCTCACTGATCTTATATTGAGCGACAATGATCTGACTCTATTCCTTCATTGCTAGCAAACCTGAGCAACCTACAATATCTGTACCTCAAATACAATAAATTATCAGGTCCTATTCCTATTGAATTTGGGAATTTGAAGTCTCTTGAAGAATTGGTGGTGAACGGCAATCAACTTAGTGGTTCTATTCCATCATCACTAGCAAACATGAGTAACCTACAGACTATGTACCTCCACGAGAATAAATTATCTGGTCCAATTCCTGTTGAACTTGGAAATATGAAGTCCCTCACTCAGCTTATGGCAAACCACAATCAACTTAGTGGTTCTGTTCCTTCCGATTTTACAAATTCAACTCAACTACGAAGGCTTAATCTGTCTACAAATAATTTGGTTGGTGAGATCCCAAAAGCATTTGAGAAGATGAAAAGTATGTTATATTTGTACATTTCCGATAACCAAATGTCAGGTAATATACCTATGAAAATGGAAAAAGCTGTTGAAGATGCGTGGAACTCAAAGGACAAGAAAGCCAAGGCGGTTATTACATTGTCGTTGACGAAGAGCGTTGCTTTCAACATCATGAATGAAACCACGGCGCGTGGTATGATGGAGGCTCTGTCAAATATGTATGAGAAACCATCGGCGGCTAACAAGGTGTTCTTGATGAAGGAGCTGTTCACTACAAGGATGAATGAGGAAGGCTCAGTTACGGTTCACATTAACAATGTAAATTCAATTCTGTCCAGATTATCATCTGTGGGAATTAAATTTGATAATGAGACTCAAGCTTCGCTGCTACTAGCTTCTCTACCTGATAGCTGGTCCGGAACAGTTACTGCTGTTACAAGTTCCGTGGGGACCAGTGGTATGACTTTTGAAGGGGTTAGAGATTTGGTTCTAGGCGAGGATATCAGACGCAAGAATCAAGGTGGATCTTCCTCTTCTGATTTATTAAATGTCGGAAGAGGTAGAGGGAATAGCAGGAATAGTGGGAGCAGTGGGAGTCGGGGAAAAAGTTCTTCTAGAACTTTGAAGAATGTGAAATATTGGAACTGTCAAGAAGTGGGACATGTTAAGAGTCAATGTCCAAAGAAAGAATTGAACATTGCTGATGCTGAGAATTTTTCTGGGGATGATGCATTGTTACTCAGTATGGAAAGTTCTGTGGACTCTTGGGTCATGGATTCAGGGGCTTCGTTTCACGCCATGGACAACGGGGAAACGATGGTGAATCTAAAAGAAGGAGATTTTGGGAAGGTACGATTGGCAAATGACGAGATGCTTCAAGTAACGGGCATGGGAGATATTGATCTAGTTACTTCATTAGGAACTACATGGAGCCTGAAGAATGTCAGGGTTATTCCGGAGCTGAAGAAAAAATTGATTTCTGTTGGTCAGCTGGATAAACAAGGACTGGAAGTAAGGTTTGGTGGTGGTAAATGGATGGTGGTCAATGGTAATTCGGTGATTGCTCAAGGTTTGAAGCGTGGGTCATTGTATATGGTTGAGGTACCTGCTGAGGGAAGTATGACCATCCCGATTAAGCAAAACAAAATCTGGTTCGCTAAATCTACTGCTAAGAGAGTTCATTTTGCAAACATGAATTCTGGAGCCAAGGGGATGTTAGCTGAACGAGTCAAAAATTCTAAACCATTCAGGGGATTCTGTGACAGTGGGAGCACGGGGTGTGTCCCGGGTATAGTTACAACGAGCCGTTGGGTTTTGAAGACTAAGACTGGAAAATTCTCTCTTGTTGGAAGTTTGCAAAGTTTGGAGAGTGTTAGTGGTCCTCGGTGTATCTCTGGATCTGGTGGAGTGTCCAAACCGGTTGAGACAGAGGATGAGTCGGTGGTGGGATTAGCCACGACTGAGTTGGAGCTAGTGGGAGCTTCAACTAGCCCTTCTAGTACTTGAAGATGAGGGGCGGCTGCAATTAGAGAAATCAGACTAAGTTTTAGCTTGTTCTTTGAAACTGGAAGCTTGAAGGACTTGGTTGTTTTTTAAGATTACTGGAGTAATTGAGAGTTGAATGGCGGAGAAAGACTAAGTTGTTCAAGTCTCCAAGTGGGAGATTGTTAAGATTTATGGAGTCTTGAACAAATTGACAAGTTCCTAAAAGTTCAAGGGCCATAAATGAAACTTGGAAATATTAAACAATTGAATATGAAATGGACGATGCAATTATGGAGCACACCTTTTGAATTCATTTGTTGGACTGTCAAAGTTTTGGATGGCAAATAATTGGACGGTGGAAAAAATTGTCAAACACATGCATGAGAATTATTTTTTCAAACTATGCGGCAATCTTGTGTATATTGCGGCTCACAAATATACCTATATATATGCATGTATGTTTTGCATCTTTTGTGTGCAAAAACTTGAGAGAACATCAAGTGTAGAGTGTCAAGCTAATTGTAATCTTGTGAGTTTTAATAAAATTCTCTAGTTGCAGCCCGTGGACGTAGGATTTACACCGAATCTGAACCACGTAAAATCCTTGTGTTCTTTATTGCTTTATTTTCTCGTTTCGTTTGTGAGTGTGTGATAGTGTTTCCGCTGCGTGTACCCTGTCTCAATTCCTAACAATGTCAGGTAATATACCTATGGAGCTCGGGTCATTCCGTGAACTCCTTGAACTAGATCTATCCACAAATAGATTGAATGGGTTGATACCCAAAAGCATTGGTAATTGGGCACACATCCATTACTTGAATCTTAGTAATAACCAACTTAGTGAGAAAATTCCACGTGAGATTGGTAAATTAGTTCAACTTACGGAACTTGATTTATCTTAGAATTTTCTCACAATAGATATATCATCTGAAGTTCAAAGTTTGCAAAATGTGCAAAAATTGGATCTTTCTCACAATAGACTATCTGGTTCTAACCCTGAAGCTTTTACATGTTTGCCTCGCGGTATTGATATCAACCTTTCTTACAATGAGCTCTCAGGTCCGGTTCCCGCTAGCGCCAACTTTGTGAATGCGTCCCTACAAGGCAATCCAGGTTTGTGTGGAAATGTTACGGGAGTGTAACTTTGTGCAAGTCAAATTATGAAGAAGAAAAATGATATCTTTCATCAACAGCTCATCCTTGTAATTATGCTCCCTCCTATTGGGGCAATTTTACTTGGTTTATTCGTGTGTGGCCTCATTGCTTATCGAAAAGAAAAGAGACATTCTCCACAGAAACCTTTGGACAAAGAAGGTGGTGATTATTTCTCCATGATAAGTTTTGAATGGAGGAGTAGTGTATGATGACATTGTGAAAGTAACGAATGATTTTGATGAAGCATACTCAATTGGGACCGGAGGATATGGGACTGTGTACAAAGCCGAGCTACAACCTAACAATGTGGTAGCTGTCAAGAAACTTCACTCATCATCTGAGAATGTTGATCATAATGGATTCCTTAATGAGGTACAAGCATTAACAAACATAAGGCATCGAAACATAGTCAAACTCTATGGATATTGCTCCCATGCCCGCCACTCATTTTTGATTTATGAATACCTTGAAAAGGGAAGCCTTGGATCAATCTTAAGAAGTAATGTCTTAGCAAAAGAATTGGATTGGTTGAAAAGGGTAAATATTGTAAAGGGTGTAGCTAATGGTTTGGCATATATGCATCATGATTGCTCGCCTCGTATAATTCATAGAGACATTTCCATTGCAAACATCCTTCTCGATTCTGATTATGAGGCACATATATCTGATTTTGGCACGTCCAAGCTTTTAAAGCTAGACTCATCAAACTGGACCACAATTGCAGGCACCTATGGTTATATCGCGCCAGGTAACGTAATCTTGTGATTGTAATTGTACATCTTCTTAAGTTTCGTAATATATATAAGTATCTATGTTAGAATCTTGTGAGGTTGATATAGCTTTTTTGTTTTTATCTTTTGTTTCTTGGGATGTAGAGCTTGCTTATACAATGGTGGTATCCGAGAAATATGATGTGTATAGCTTTGGAGTTGTTGCACTAGAAGTGATGATGGGAAAGCATCCTGGAGAACTGATAACATGTTTACCAACATTGTCTGCTGATTATTTGGTGTTAGCAAATGTGGGAGATAGCCGGATACCTCCTCCGTCATCCCAAGTTGAGAAACAAGTTAAGTCCGTGCTGACTCTCGCAAGAGCATGTTTGAACTCAAATCCACATGAAAGGCCAACAATGCACCAAGTTTCAAATCTGTTAATTAGAATCTGCTTTGAATTGACATCTTCGGCTTGATAAAGTGTACATTGTATGTTCTTAACTTTTTTGTAGTTTCGTATGATGCTCCTGACTATATGTATACAATTGAATGCCAAGGACGATTGCCATCCTTCAAGAAATTCAATACTGGAAAAGTGTGTTAGCTACACAAGTTTCGCCTTTATTTTCTTGTGCAATATTGAAGCGGAAAAGTAATATACAAGGTTTCTACAAAGAGATCAACAAGTCATTAGTTAACCCTAACAAACATGATTAAAATCAGCATGTACAAATTACGATTGCCATTAATGTAAAGCATTTTGCCTGTCATTGGATGAACATAAACTATGATTAAAATATTTAAAAAGTGTCCTCTTTGTTATATTTACTTTGGTCTCCGACTCAAGGGTTAAATATGACAGTTGTTTGTTATCCTTTTTGATAATATATCACCCTTCCATCAACCTCCATACCATCAAATTCAATATCAAGAGGGAGGCCAAAGATTTTAGCCAAGTGGCTACAACTAATTTCCTGATATGGATGCTATATACCCCCTGCTGGGGTTAGGGAGGATTAATTGACTTTATATGGCATAACATGGGGGTAGCATTCATTGACTTTTAACAAAGAGGGTAGCAGATACCCATGGCCGGTCCTGAAAAATGAAATATTCTTAAAGGCCCAGGACGAACAAGAAAAAAATGGCCCTTATCTTTATTATAATTTTGTATTTTTAAATAAAAATATATAATGAAAAAAATTAGGTCCTGTGCAACTGCCCACTTTGCCCCCCCTCTAAGCCCCCCATGCAGATACCAAATCCTCTGTTCCATTTAAGCTCGAGGACGAAAGGGAAAGGTTCACGTTCATTCCTTTACATCTATTCTTACTCAGTTTTTATGTTCAAAGCTTGACAAGTAAAATGACACATAATGCACTGATCAAGGTTCACGTTCATTCCTTTACATTTATTTAAAGGGATTTATTGAGCTTCTTGTGAATGCAAGTCACCCTTCCCTGCCATTGGCCTAATGTTTAAGCAGGTTAGTAACCAGGGTCTTTCTTATCTTAAACATTTACTTGAAAAATATGACATATAAGTGCTATATATCATCTTATTTTGATACATTCCTAGCAAAGAACAAATCAAGACTCATTAATGCAAGTATAAAAGCTTCATCATCTGAACCTCCCTTGCATGTCTACTGGGAGCCACTACAAGAAATGGGGGCATTAGCGGCGACACCTTTAGCGGCGACATGTAATTGACGCGTTACATGTCGCCGCTAATGCTAGGTGTCGCCGCTAAAGGTGTCGCCGCTAAAGGTGTCGCCGCTAATAGTCACATAATAGCGATCCGCGTCAAACGAGCCCCATCCGTTCGATTTGTTTTCAATCGTAGGGTTTAAATGGAACAAGAAAAGGTGCTGACTTTTCCCTCCAGGTGGTCGCCGTTAATGCCTCCGCGTCGCCGCTACTGCCCTTCGCCGCTAAAGCCCTGTACAGATAACCCCCCTTTCAGCTTCCTTTCTATTCCTTTCTGTGTATCGTGTTTTGTCTGTGAAACCTCCCAGCCGACTCAATTTCGTTCGTCGATCAATCGCGTCCAGCCATCATTCCTGCCACAAGACCGCCAACTCTGCCGATCCAGCCTCCATTCCGTCAATTTCGAGGAAGACTCGTATCACCGGCGACGACGAATCATACTACCGGCGATGAGGAAGTAAAACCGGCGACCACAGGTGGTTTTATGGATTCTCAATCGATCATGGAAGAATTTGCAAACTATTTGTCATGTGTGACTATTGTTACTGGAATCTGGAAAGAACTAAAACAAGGGCTACTAATGTTGATAGACATCATAATTTTCCAGAGACATGATATCTAATGTTGAGCAACTTTTCTGAAGACATCATAGCAAGATTAACTAGTTATAACAACAGGCAAATCTGGTTCATCTGAAAGTGTAATGATAGCTAACTATTAGACAATTACAAAATACTTTAGTATTATAGGGATGCATAGTGTAATTGTATGATCTATATATACTCCTTATGTACGTGATTATTGATATAATACAATACATAATATTTGACCAAGTTTGTCTTGGTATCAGAGCATAATTCTCGGCAACCCTAATTGCCGCCATCTTCTAATCCTTCTTCTAAACCTTCGGCTGTACAATGGCCCTAATCGCTGTGCACCTAAGAAAACTTCCTAGAATTCTCACAAGTTCGGTTTCACCCTCTCTCCTACAAACTATGGTTTTTGGAAAACCATGATTCATCCTTTTCTTGTTACAAACAATCTCATTGGTTATGTCGATGGTACCATTCCTTGCCCACCGGAAACAATTGAACATACCAGTACTTCAGAAAAAGAAACCACCACAAAATCTTAGCCAAACCCTAACTATCCGATTTGGATTTCTAATGATGCCCAAGTCAGGATGTTGATTATCTCTACAATCTCGGAGGCTGCCTTCCCACATGTTCAAGGAACTACTACATCACGTGAAGTCTGGCTATCTCTAGAACGTGCCTACGCTCACGTCTTCCAATGAATACACTCTCAAAACACATTTACTGAAGATACAAATGAAGGGCGATGAACCATAAGAAGTCTATCTCAATAGGGAAAAAGAGTATGCTGATGCTTTATCCAACATTGGTGAAGCTTTTAAAGAAAAAGATTTGGTTATGCTTGTAATTGCAGGTCTTCGTGAAGATTATAATAGTTTGAAATCGACTCTTCTTGCTAGACAGGTTCAACTTCCTTTAATGAGTCACATGGACTACTCTCAGATCACGATTACATGATCAAACAATCTGTTCCTGTTGTTCCATCACCACAGGCCTTTACTACTAATACCGCTGGCATGTCTTCTCTAACAGGGTCTTCACAACAGGATCCCGTTCAAGCTCTTAATCAACTTGCCTCACAACTCGGATTCGGTCTACAACCTTTTACTCAACAGCCATAAGCTTGCTTCACTTCCTACTCTCAAAACAACCGTTCTTGTGGTCGCACCACCAATAATTGTGGTCGTGGACGTAGTCCAAACAACCGAACCCACAGAGGACAATTTAATTGGGCATCCAATCAAAATACAGTGTATGGAACTTGCAAGCGATGTGGCATTGGTCACATCCCATCTAACTGTCGGAACCGTGACCCGGCAACCATCCGAACCAGACAACAATCTTCAGTCAATCATGATGATTATCGGTCTCAATCCCCCTCCTGGATCCTTGACACCAGTGCTAATAGCCATGTAGCACCAAAATCGTCTGGTATCGGCACGTCTGAACCATATTATGGTGAAGATTTTCTCCATGTTGGAAATGGTAAGGATTTACCCATTTTACATTTCGTTTCCACTAAACTTCACTCTCCAAACAAAACTCTTTCTTTACTCAATATTCTTCATGTACCACAAATTAAACAACAACTTCTTTACTCAATATTCTTCATGATAACAATGTTTTCTTTGAATTTCATGAAACTTTTCACTCCATGAAACTTTTCACTCCATGAAGGATGAGAAGTCAGTCACTATCCTCCTCACATGTCCAAGTAAGAACATGCTCTACTCGCTTCATCTCCCATCCTTCCAACCAATTTCTAGAAGTGTCTTCACCGGTGTTCGTGCTCCTGTTCACACATGGCATTAACGGCTTGGTCACCCTCATTCGCAACTTTTACATTCCATGTTAACAAAATACTCTCTTCTAGTTTGGCACAAAAAGTCAAGTATTCCTCGTAATGCATGTCATGTAGGAAAATCCTCTAAACTTTCTTTGCCTTTATCGAATTTTAAAAGTTCTTGCATTTTAGATTTGTTTTTCTGTGATGTTTGGGACCTTCTCCTATTACCTCTTCTGATGGACATAAGTATTTCCTACTTTGTGTTGATCATTTTACTCGTTACATGTGGTTTTCCCCTTTAAAACATAAATATGATGTGTTTGCTCACTTTAAACACTTCCTAGCTATGGTTGAACGATATTTTAACACAAAACTTAAATCTGTCCAGATTTGGGTGGAGAATTTTGAAACCTTGTTAATTTCTTTTCTACACTCGGCATTACTCATAGACGTTCATGTCCTCGTACGATTGAGCAAAATGGCTTTGTTGAACATCGTTATCAACACGTTGTGGAAACATGACGCACTTTGCTTGCTCAATTCGGTGTTCCATCTTGTTTTTGGCACTTTTCTTATGACACTGTTGTTTACCTAGTCAATCACATGCCATCCCGTAACGTATCCAATATGTCACCTCTTGAACACGCCTTCTCTCACAAACTCGATTTTTCATTCTTATGTGTTTTTTGTTGTTTGGGTTATCCTCATATTCGTCCATATAATAAACACAAAATGGATTTTCGTTCCCTTCCATGTGTCTTTCTTGGTTATAGTCCCGATCACCATGGTTACCGGTGTCTCGATCCCACTACTGATCGCATGTATATTGCCCGTCATGGTCGTTTTGTTGAACAAAACTTCCCATTTCTGCAAACCGATCCTCCACCTGTGACACATACACCCTTCGACCCATTTATATCCAGTTATCCTACACCCATTCCATCATCCGAAACTATCCCTACAACCTTAACAGACAATCTACCCGTTACTGACACCACACCAAACAACCCAACTTCTTCCATTGATGCCCCACCCACCAGCCCATCTACATCTACTGCTCCTAATACTACCTCACATGTATCTCCATCTGCTACCTCCACTAATACTTCTTTTCATAATCATCAGCCGCCTCCTCGAGTTCGACCATCCAATCTTCTCCCAAATCCCAAACCACGAGTTCCATTCGACCCATATGCCTTCGCCACCCATACCGACTTCTCTACTATCGAACCGATAACCTTTGTCGATTCCAACAAATCATCAAAATGGCAAGTTTCCATGAATGAATAATATCAAGTGCTAATACATTATAAAACATGGTCTCTTGTTCCACCTATTCTTGATGCGAATGTAGTTGATTGCAAATGGGTGTACAAACTAAAAACGGATCAAACCGTGAAAATCACTCGGTACAAAGCACGTCTCGTTGCAAAAGGGTTCAATCGACAATCAAGTATTGACTACACTGAAACATTCAGTCATGCTGTAAAATCTACTACTATTCGTACAATGCTTTCTCTTGCTGTTACACAGAAATGGGCTCTACGACAATTGGATGTTTAAGATGCCTTCTTGCATGCAAAACTCCAAGAGACTATTTACTTACGACGGCCACCTGGTTTCATTGATCCCCTAAACCTCATCATATATGCTTGCTTCATAAATCTATATACGGGCTCAAATAGGCTCCCCATGCGTGGTTTCATTGATTAACAAAGGCTCTACAAGCTCTCGGCTTCCGTTGCTCAAAGACCGACCCCTATTTTCTTTTATTCATCTAAGGGCACCAACTTGTATATGTTAGTTTATGTTGATGATATTATACTCACCGGTAACAAATCTGCTGTCATCGATCAGATCATTAAAAAGCTGAGTCAAACCTTTACAATTCAATATTTGGGAATTCTTTCATATTTTTTGGGCATTGAAGTGGTTCACAAAAGTAATATATTTTAGAATTACTGTAGTAGGCAAATCTATCTCATGCGAAACCGGTATTATCTCCGATTACTACCACTGCAAATTCGTACCTCGGTGACAATCCCTTATCCGATGACCCGGTTAAATATTGTCAACAAGGTTTTCCAGTTCATGCATTCTCCTACAACAAATCATTTGTATGCCATTAAAAGGATTCTTCGGTATCTTCAAGGAACATCTGACTATGGTGTTCTCATCAAATAGAACTCGGGGTTTGTCCTTCATGCTTACATCGATTCTCTTGCTCCTTCCTTGAGTGCTTTTTCGGATACTAACTGGGCTCGTTGCCCGAATAACCGTTTATCCACTGGGGGATATGCCATTTATCTTGGAAACAATCTCATATTTGGTCGGCCAAAAAACAACGAACTATCTCTAGGTCATCAACAGAATCAGAGTACAAACAACGAACTATCTCTAGGTCATCAACAGCATCAGAGTACAAAGCCTTAGCTGACATTGTAGCTGAACTCACTTGGCTTGAAGCCCTTCTCCAGGAAACTCAAAGTTTCTATGACATCTGCCCCGGTATTGTGGTGTGATAATTTGGGTGCCACATACTTATCAGCAAATCCGATCTTTCATGCTCGCACGAAACATGTTGAGGTTGATTTCCATTTTGTCGGAGAAAAGGTAGGTCTACGGAAACTCTCAGTACAATTCATTTCCACACATAATCACATTGCATATATCTTTATAAAGCCATTGTGATCCCAACGGTTTGCTGAGTTAAGATCCAAGCTACAGGTCGCTCCCTAGCCTTAGCTTGTGGGGGACTATTAGACAATTATAAAATACTTTAGCATTATAGGGATGCAAAGTGTAATTGTATGATCTATATATATGTTAGGAACCGGACCGGGTACACGCAGCGGAAACACACTATCACACACACACAAACTCACGAAAATAAAGCAAGAAGAACACAAGGATTTTACGTGGTTCGGATTCGGTGCAAATCCTACGTCCACGGGCTGCAACTAGAGAATTTTATTAAAACTCACAAGATTACAATTGGCTTGACACTCTACACTTGATGTTCTCTCAAGTTTTTGCACACAAAATATGCAAAACATACATGCATATATATAAGTATATTTGTGAGCCGCAATATGCACAAGATTGCCGCAAAGATTGAAAAATGCGTAGATTTTTCTTTAGCCGTCCATTGATTATTCCACCGAAAGTTCGCGTCCAATTCAAATGTTCAATTGTTGCGTTCACATTAGAGATAGTGACAATAAATATTAAACAATTGAT